CACTGTCGCCAAAGTGCTGCTCATAGGGGGTCATATGATTGTTGGGTGTTTCTCTGTATGTATTATTGTAGGGTCTACTGCACAGTATAAAGCACCTTGAGGTGACTGTTGTTGTCTTTTGGCGCTATATAAATAAAGTTGAATTGAATTGAATTTTAAATTCTGTGACAGGACCTTAGAGAAACATTTATGCAAACACACTGAAGGTCTTCACTAAAGCAACTTTGTAAAGAATATGGAGGCAGAATAAGGATCTGCAAGAGACAGTCATACACAATATGATTACTTAAGGTTATTGCTGCTAAAGGTGGTTCCACAAGCTATTGACTCATAAAGTTTATGTAATTGTCTTATTCACAGGACTGCACTCGTTAATGTACATGGGTGGTTTGTGTGCTTTGTTGATGATCAGAAAAATAAAGGAAAAACATGTAGACATATAAAAAAGTAATGGATATCCCATCTCTTTATGTCTCTTTCAGTGTCTTATCATCGAGGGAAAACGGCAGTTAAAAATAATGATGGAGATAAGAGACACTCCTACCCTGGTAACACACACAAAGTCAAAAAATATGTATAATTATTTCCTCCTTTAATTCTTTACAATATTTGAGAAAAATGCATTTCAAATTTTAGAATTTAATTGTTACATACATGTACATACTTTTACAAGTGCAAAAGTAATAGGACAACTCACTGATAAGGTCATAAAAGAGGTCATAATTAGGCTAAACAGAAGAAAAACATCACAGGTAGAGGAAACTTTAGGACTGTCCAAATCAGTTATTGGTCCAGTCTGTAAAAGAGGAGTACTGAACCTGAACAGACCACAGGAGGTAAACAACGGGGCGGAGGAAAACATTTTTATCCCCGATTTAACAAAAACACCGACTTCAGCATCTAGCCACATCAATAATATTCTCAAAGACCCAGGCATGTTGTTATGAAAAGTATATGAAATATATATAATATATAAATCCAGACAGTGTGTGTGTGTGTGTGTGTGTGTGTGTGTGTGTGTGTGTGTGTGTGTGTAGACGGGTATTAACATCTTTGTGGGGACCATAAACCAGGTCCCCACGAGTTTGAAGGCCTTGTTGAGAGTCAAAATGTGGTTTTAGTGTCAGGATTACAATTAGGTTATGGTGGGGTTTAGGATAAGGGTCAGGGTTAGGCATTCATTTTTAATGGTTAGGGTTAGCACCTAGGGAAACGAGATGTCCCCACAAGGCCATAAATACACACACACCTGTGTGTGTGTGTCTGTACACAAGAGTTCATTTTGTTGCTCTAAATCTGATGTCTCTCCCGTGTGCCGACAGCTCTGGATCGTTTGGTAATCTCTGACAGCAGAGAGCCTTCATCCAATAGGAACAGTGACTACAACCTCTGACTTGCATCTTCCTCCATCATCTTCCTCCGTCATCTTCCTCCATCATCTTCCTCCGTCATAATCACTGTCATCATTGTCTTATGTGAGCTGGAAATGTAGTATATTTTCATTTGTAACTATATTTCACCTATTTTGTGAGTCTATCAAGAAGTCACAAATTTAGGTTCAAAGTTATGTAAAAGTGAGTTTCATTGTGGCCTCACAACTGTGAGAGATCCACAGTGAGAGATCCACTGTGAGAGATCCACTGTGAGAGATCCACTGTGAGAGATCCACAGTGAGAGATCCACAGTGAGAGAACAAAAACGTTGCACAGGGTCTCATCCCTGCTGGGCAGCTACAACACCAACACAAACTGTAGACCACATACACACACACACACATACACACACATACGCACACACACGCACACATACACGCACACATACACACACATGCACACACACATGCACACGCGCACACACACGCACACACATACACACACACATACACACATGCACACACACGCACACATGCACGCACACACGCACACACGCACATACACATACACGCACACATACACACACATGCACACTCACACACACATGCACACGCGCACACACACACACACACACACACACACATACAC